AGAGCTAACAGATATGCTAATTATGTTAAATATAATATAAATGATAATAATAAAACAAATAATAGAAATATAATAAATAATATATGTGTTCTATTTGGCAGATATAGCAGATTTGGCAGATCTAGCAGATCTGGCATATTTGGCATATTTGACAAGTTCATCAATTTTTGCCAGTTTCACCATCTAAAATATTCTATAAAATTCCTAATTTTTTTTTCCATGATATATTTGCAAAATTACTTTGTAAATAATTATGTAAATCTCCTCCTGATGCATAATCCATCATTAACATATAATCATTTGTTTCAGGATCCTTTGTAATACCATAACATCTCATAACACGATTAATATAACTATCAGAACAGCAACGATGATGCAAACTTAACTAAAAGAACACAATTTAGATTAGATAATTTAAAGTATTTAATAAATATAATTTCAAATAAAGAAACATTAAATAATTACCTCATTTAAGAAATACTTACTGATATCTTTTGAATTTAAAATCCTTTTTATAGCAATAGTAGTATTTTCTTTAACTCTTTTATCTTTTGAAGATTGATGGCGATATTAGATATACCATCTAAACAATTAGCTTTATAAATTATACCAAAACCTCTTACTGCTACTTGTTCTAAATTTTGAATTTGAGAAAATGGTATCCATTTAAATACAGAACGTGATAATATAAGGTGTTCTTCAATAACTTGATAATTTAATGAACTATTAACAAACTGGCTATTATATTTTGTATCATGAATAAACTCATCTATATTACTGTTTCCACTGCTTATAAATGATGTTACAAGTGATGTATCAAGAGTAATAAGCGTTGTCCTTTTGCATTTATACATTGAGATTGAACTGTAATTCCAAAAATGATATTTGTTGTTAAACAATATCTACATCCGTTATAAGTTATTTGGCAGGGTTCACACCATTTGAGACAATCAGTTACAGATTGAAAATCTTTATGACAATTCATACAATATTGTACTTGATCCCACCATGGTAAATACAGAATTGGAACAAGCTTTTTAGTCAAAATCGATTCTACCCATCCAGAAGATTCTTTATAACAATTTGAACATGTCTTCCAACAACTATTATACTTCTGATCTCCACACAATTCACGAACCTTATGTTTTGGGTTTGAGGTCCAAAAGTAACGGGCAGAATTTACTTGTTTGAATGTAATATCGGAACAAATTTTACACCATTCATGAATATCTTTGATGTGATAATTTGTGTTTCTAGCTACATGTTTATCACATAGAACATTTCTTGTTAATATGAGTACATCCAAATACTTATTATTATCAGTTATATTACTGATATACTTTGCCAAGCAACATTTACAATATCTTTGACGAAAGTACTGTGTAGTTGAGAAATTACTTCCACAATAACATTTATCATATATATCGTATTTAAAAGGAATAAACGTAATTGGTGCAGTACTGGATTTTAATTTTGGAGTTGGGTCAAAAGAATTTGTAATAGTAAGTTCCATTTTGTTATAATGGAATATGAATTTTATTCACGACATTATATAGTTTATTTAATGTACGTAAACATTTAGGAAAATTATTCCGAATCTGGAATTCTTAGGAAGCGATGCATTTGGTTTTTCCAAGTTATAATTCTAGAATGATCTTAAATTGGCATTTCATTTTTAAAAGGTTTAAAGAAATTCTTTTAAAGAATCAAGAGTTCTATTGAAATTTATGCAGTGCAATGAATGACATAATTAACGCCACTCAATCGATACTAACATTATTGACGAAGATCGTCTAAAAATTTTGGGGAAATAAACCAGAGATGCTAATGTAACCGTGACCGATTTTGACCGATCGGTTGACCGACTGATTTTGAGACTTTGGCTGAACAACCATTTAATTATATATAATGTAATGAAAATTGGTAAAAAAATATTAAAGTCCGCGTTAATTCTGCGCCATTATATATAATAACTTAAAGGAATAAATAAGTAAACCAAAACATAAAAAAATTATTTTGTATAAAGAAGTTTTAAATAGTTGCATGCTAATATTCTAGTATTGTTTAAACAAGAATTGTATTTTGCTAAATAAAAACGTTCTAATAAACCAAAACTGTTAAATTAGATTACTATCACCGGTCGCTCAAAGGCCTTTGAACCGATCGCTGACTGACCGTTATCTCCCTAGAATAAACCCACCCAAATGATGAAAAACTTTATTAGAGCTTATGAAAATTGGTAGAAGACAAAAATCTACGAAATCGACATTAACTTTTAGCGATATAATATTTCTTTATTCATTTTTCACCAATCAAATAACCATAAGGTTTTGCAACAAAAATAGTACAATCTAATTATAGCTAATTTTGGTAATTATTGAGAGGCTTGCCGATTACGAACACTCATTATAAACAATATTTAGATTAAGTCAATTTTCTAAAGCGACTGTTTAAATTATAGTTTCTTTTTCTTGTTGGCAAAATTGAAACACGTGATTACCATTTCTCATTTACGAATTTTTTTTTTTTTGAATATTTGAACTAGGGGTGGGGTTCTAATTGTGACCGATATCAATTGGTCTAAGACTTTAACTGACTTCGCTTTGACAAAACGGACCACATGACTTATTTCTTAAATATAATTTATTATATATATAAATATAAACAACTATTAAAAGGAATAAAAATAAACCTCGCTAATTTAAATGTACAATTTTTCAATTTACATAAAATGAAATATCAATTGAAAAATATACGATTTTGATTTTTAAATTGTATTTATTATTATATTTCTTATTACGTTTGGTATCTTGAGTTTTGAAGAACCGGTTTTTTGCACTTTCCTTTCACATTATGTTCTTTAACAAGCGAAGAATTTTAGCCCATATACAAGTAGAAGCTTTACATTTATATTTTTTTTCCATTAGTATCAGAATTAATATCCTTTTGAAAGGCCGATGGAAAACAAAACATATCGTTTCTATGACGTCAAAATCGTCGCCTGCATGATCATTGTTTGATATTTTCCTGGGCGGCGCAAGGCACTTATCTTCGGCTTATGCAGGCCTCTAGTCGTTATATATTCAAATTAAATCAGAATAATATTATTAATTTCAAATGTGAAAAAAATTTTTTTTTTCAAAAATATTAATTACATTAATGATATGATTTATTTATTTCATCTTTTTTTTACAAAAACCCAACAACGTAAATATTATAGATTTAAAGAAAAAGTGACAAAAAAAAATTTTTTGTTTTTTACGATTGAAAATTAACCGATCCAATTAAATATTTTTTTTTTTCACTAATTACCATTATTCAATTATTAGGTATAATTACAAATAAAATAAAAATATCTATATTAATCTATGTACGAGGTTAAAAAATCCCCTATTTTTTTTTTTTTAAAATTTTACAAATCTTTTACGTTTAGGAACAGCTTTAGGTTCGTTGGTGACAGGTTCTTTGGCTGGTTCTGGTTGGACACAAGTACCTCCGTTAGAATATGCTGCTTGACAACCTTCACCACAAAAATTGGGACCATTGCCACAAAATCCATTAACACCACAACATGGAGAAGCGAGAGAATTACAACTATGACCGCCCATATTTGGACATCCATTATTAATAAGAGGAACTTCACCGACACCTTGAATAGTGACTGTTTGTGTTTGCAAAGGAAAATAATTTTATTAAATGTTAGATTTATAAATTACAAAATTTAAAAAAAAAAAAAAAATTTTTTTTTTTTTTTGTTACTCACAGAATGGGGTGTACCCATAATTCGCAGGATCTTTTCCAACAGTAATGGCATAATCAATTCCGGTTGCCATTGTCGGTGGCACAAGGAAAGGGCAACTTAGTGCTAAAAAAAAAATAAAATAGTAAAAGTAATCATTCAATTAGTTTTCACTCTCGTTCATTTTCGTTCCCTTTTAGTAAACATCCCGTTACGATCACATACCAGCAGGGTCGATATTTTTGCATATTTTCATTTGTTCTTTTAAATTTTCCGGTGGACCCATGACTAAACGTACATCAACCGCTGGCTCAGTTGGAGTATCTTGATTTAAGATCCAAGTGACATTATAAGGGGTTTTGGCATCCAACACATCGCCCGATGATGGGAATGTAACAGTATATCCAGCATTAGCGCGTGAGGTACATAATACGGCCAAAAGGAATAAACCTAACAATGATTTTGCCATATTTGAAACGTTTTTATAGATCGAATTAAATTAAAAGAAAAAAAAATTGATAATTTTTCAAGAAATGAAAATTACTATTTATTTTTTTGTTGTTGAAAGAAAAAGGAATATAACGCGGGCTTTATATATAAAAGATTTTTTTTTAGTCGTCTGGATTTGTCCCGATTCAAGAAACAAGTTTGCGGTTCGTTAAACCTCCTTGAAAAAAAAAGATCAACAAATTACATCAACCTAAAAATAAACAAAAAGGTTTTAATTTTTTGACAATTTAGTATATTACTTTAATGAAATACCTGATTATTTATGTTTTATGTTGGTTATTTGTAGAATAAAAACTATTATTTAAATTTATTTAATTATTTGAATTATTTCAAACGGTATAACAGACATGAAACATACATGCATGTTCATTACTTTTCTTTGTGTATGCCATCCTGTTGCACAAACGGTTTCCACCGTCAGTTCCTCCACCAGTTCCGCCAGTAAAAAAAATGGTTGATTGATAAATGAGGTTGATTGTTGAAAACTAAATCGATAAACCTTGGGCAGTAATTGGTATTACGACATGATAATATATCTCATTGTTAACAGTCGATGAGTCAAGAAAAAAAAAAAAAAAATTTTTTTTTTAAAGTTCACCTCTGAAAATTCCCAAAAATTATAATGACATCATGCAAAGATCGTGGATTTTTAAGTCACAAACGCATTATCATAGGAGAACGAAGAGGACACCATCAAGGATAAAATTTAGTGATTATCAATCGTGATTTGATTAAGTTTTTTTTTCCAAATTTATTTTTAGATTGGAAGGAAAATTCTTTTGAAGGTTTACATACAGCATTAAAAAAACGACATTGATCGAATGTGCCACGATATCACCGAGACTTATTTTCTTTGTTCTCACAAAGTTTATTATTGTGTGACCGCAGGAATGTGACAGTGATCACGTGATAAATTTAGAAAGAAAATTGATGTCAAAAGCAGCAGAAACATTTTGTGACTGTGTCACTTTGAATAGTTTCATCATCATCTTGCAAAAAAAGTAACCAAGAAAATAAGGTTGAGTTAATATAATTTTATGAAAACTAACAAAGGCAATTCCGTTAGAATGTTCTAAATTGGCTTTTGTTGCCGTCAATAACCTAATTAGTTCATTTTAATGAGTAATTCTCTAAAATTAACATTATTTAAAAATAATGGTTTCAGCCCTATTTTAAGCTAATTTTACAAAATAATCACATCCCGTTAAAATGATCGGTCATCGGTTAGGAGGAAATTGGTGTCTTTGATATCGACCTTTCCTTATATTAAAGAGAATAACAAACAAAATAGGTCATTAAAAGCATTTGACTTTCCAAGGTGTCGATCGTAAATTACCTAATTTTATCAAAATTTTGACATTATTACAAAATATTCAGATGTAAAAAAGCGATCTGCCTTTCTATTACCGGATCATTGAACTAAAAAATCCATAACATTTTTGTGAGTCATAGAAGTTGAAATTCAAAATTTTTTGACCAAAAAAAAAATAAAAAAAAATTATCCACTGCAGTAAAATTCACGTTCTTATCATATTTAACCACCAGATATCTTTGATTCTATTGTTGCCTTTCTATTCATATTAATGTCGTAAGTTCATAAATAATTTTTATTTTTTTAAACCACATAAAAGTACAAAACTAGAAATAAAACTTAATTCATTACAAATAAAATATACATGATATTGCACTTCGTTTTGAATTTCATAAACAGAAAAAGACTTTGTGTTGAAAATTTCGTAGTTAGCTATATAATTTATTTAAGAGCAAAGAAATAATTTGGTGTTGGGACTTGCCTAGGATCCTCGCACTCCCTCCTTTTTTGATAACATCATATATTTCTCTCACTTCACTTCTCTGTAAAGTTTCCAAATGGAAATTATTGTAATAACGTGATATCTTTGGATCATGCTGATATTGATGGACGGATCTTTTTATCAATATTAATTTAAAGCATGATCTTGTGTGGTTGACGCAATAACTATTTTATAAATTTTATAACTGTAATCAACGATGACCTCATATTTACGTGTGAAGGTTTGATAGAAAGTTTAATGAAAATTTGTATTTATAAACAAGAATAATTTTATTCTCGTTCCTTATATTTTATAAAAATTTTTTTACAAAAAAGCACAAACAATTTAATACTTGAAAGAGTTCATTTTATTTGATAACTTTACAAAAATAGGTAGAAAATTGCAAAACACTTCGTCTGCTAAAAAAACCAACTAAAGTCACTATGACTTCTTGAAAGCGAAGCAACCTGAAGCTAAACATTAGTGAAATAATTAATAGTCTCACTTTTACTGACAAGGAAAAGACTACCCTACGCTCCTATTTTTATAAAATTCTTAATGGAATAGATAAAGCTTTAAGTTTTCCAAATGCCTGAAGCGAAACTTGAATTTATAAAGGAGACTTTCTTGAAGACCGGTATGTTCTAAAATTACGTGACAACTTTTTTAATATTCGGTGATCATTAACTAACTTGCCATTTTTGGTCTCCTAACCATTTAATTGAACATCAAGGTAAACCTTGCGTCGTAATAATTGGTCAACACGATATCACGTTTTGCGTTGTGTAATATTTGTCATCTAATTTCACACACTTCTCACATTTTGATACTATTTGCAATCCATGTATCTCTTCTACCGAAAAAAAGGAAATGGTCTGTTAACAGCACCATCAAAGCCGCTAGAGGCTGGAACCAGTTGATTTTTAACCGGTTAATTAACCGGTTAAAACGCCGTTTAACGATTTCTTTTTAACCGGTTAAAATTGATGAATTTAACTCCGGCCGAAATTCAATTGGCCAGAATTAAGATTTTATGATTGCAAAATATTGTCTAACTCCGGCCAAATTTATAGTACTGGCCTCAGTTAATTTAACCGGTTATTAGAATTTTTGGCTGGTTCCAACCTCTAATAAGAACAATAGATTAATCGATCTGGTTCGTTGTGGAGAATATATTATTATATGGTTCGCGCACCTCTGGCAAATACACGATCGCTGCGAGCTATGGAACAACCGAGCAAATTTGGTTTCGTTTGCATCTAGTAAGTTAGTTTACTTTTTGATCAAGAATTTTCAGATCGCACTAATTGAATATCGAATTTAATGATACAATAAGCTTCTGGAGATCTTTTGGTCGAAGAGTCCGAAAGATGCTCATTCATATCTTTGGAGTAGATTCAGCTGAATATATACCTCTATAGAAAGTGTCGATCAGTTAGGAAGGTTTTTTTGAAAATGAGTAACCTTTGTACCCATGCGTTGACACTTGTCCGGACCTTTGGGATGCGACGAACTGCTTATACCAATATTTCACAATGTTACTAAATAATCAAAAGGATGTTTCGTCTGAAAAAAAGAGTGCGATTCCAGTCATCATTTATATGGTTTTGGGCTCATTCTGCTTATGTAACCTTGTAAACATCAGTGTTAGGATCTGACCCGACAAGCCCTTATCGATGAATTCGATATATATACTATAGCGTAATATATATAAGGATTGTACAAGAAAAACTAAAATAAATCGTAAGTGTTGCACAAAAAGATGTAATAACGAAGGAAAAATTTGTATGCATTTAGGATCATGCAAATAAAAATTTAATTATTTTTACTAAAAATATGAAAATAAAAAAAAGCTTCTAAGATCACATAAATATGAAAATATAAAAGAAACTCCCAAGATCAATATTTTAATTTTTTTTATAAATTAAACTTTACTCCACTATTGTATCAATTGGGATCATCAATGATCATCATTACTGTTATCTAAACTAGAGAATGGGTACGTTGTTAAGTTCAGAACTTTATCTAGACTTTTATGCAATTGCAAGTATTGAGCGGGCGGACAATAGGACACTTTGTGTAATCTTAAACCTGTACATATATAGTCCTCCTTCATTCCGGACTAACTAGAGCAACATCTATTTCGTCAATATCTGAAAGTTCGCCCATTTTTTATTACTTTTGTTAATTATTCTTTAGAATAAATTTATTTTTTAAGAAATTATAAAGAATAATAGATTTAAAGAATTTCAAATTTATGTGTCTGCAGTATTATATTTTTCACATCTATAATGTATTTCTAAACCCAAACAATTATCGTCATATTATAAAATGTAATCATGCTTGATCATACATACTAAATTTGGCAATTATACTATATAACCTTTATATTGTATATTATCGTACTCACCTATATGATGTAGACGCCAAAAAACTTTTTCTAACGAGCATTTAGATAAGTTATACTTTTTCACTTTTCGCGATATCAATTCAACTGTGCGGAATACAGAATTAATTAAATTTTTATCAGCTGTAATTTTGAAATTAGTTTTTTTTTTAATTCTTGCGGTTAATTTTGAATATCATTTGGTATTTGTAGTGATTGACATAAGGAATCTTTTTATAAGTTATTGTGCTTGCGTTAATAAATAATTTTGATTATTTATCAACGCAAGCACAATAATTATATTATCGTGTGATTTTATGATGTTGACTTAAAATTATGAAGAAAAAGTTCATTATTTTCTTGGCAATAGAATGCGATCCTATTTAGATACCTTGTATAAAATTTATAAAAATTTGTATATTTTAGATGAAAGACCCACTTTTTATGAACCACGAAAAAAGGTACCATTTAACAAATTTTTATTTTTAGACGAATTATAACATAAAAATCTTATTGGAAAGAAATCTTAATGAACTTATTAATATGTTTATAGAAAAAGAATGTTTTAATTAACAATATTTTCAAGATGTAACAACTTTTATTGGTAATTCATCTTCGATTATTTTGATTATTTTTATTATCCTAAATTTTTTTGAAAAATAAATGATGAACCATTAGTACTGAAAAAATAAAATATATCCTTTTTTCAACCACTTAGATACTAAATGAGAATTAAAAAAAAACTAATTTTAAACTTAAATTAAAAAATTGTATTCCACATAATTGAATTGATATTGCGAAAGTAAAAAAGAATAAATTATCTAAACACTAGCTAGAAAATTTTTTTTTGAGATATTTATTAATTAGCCTTCTTTATCTTTAGCTCCTAAAATATTATAATTCAATGACCAAAATTTAAAACCTAAACTAAAAATGAGCGATAGGATCTTTGAAAACTTTTACAGTTCAGTTAATAAATATTCTATAATTACACTTATATTATTTATTATATTGAATATAGAAACAAGTTACTTGAAATTAATATGTATAATAATTAGTATTATTTCTTGTATTATTTATTTGCTTAAAATAAATTATCGATATTGTATAGCTAATATTCATATAAATTCCATGAAATCACAAAATATATTAAAAACAAGATTGTCTAAATCATATGGGTGAGCACGATAATTATTGTTACAGTATTAATGGTTGTACTTTCATCTATATTTTTCAAAAAAAATTAATAAAAAAAAAAAATCGAAGATGCATTACCATTAAAAAGTTCCATTATCTTGAAATAAATTTTTTAGCATATTAATTGCTGCTATTTTATTATATAAAGCAAGTCGTCTTCTATGAATATATTAATAAGTTCGCTAGTAGTTTTTCAAATGTATAATTCGCCTAAAATAAAAATTGTTAAATTACATATTAAGCTTATCACAAAAAAGTAAAATTACCTTTTTTCGTGGTTCTCAAAATGTAGTATTTCCATTTGTTTAAAAAAATTTGGTATAAATAACGTGAAAGAGAATGATAATGAACTTCTCTTCATAATTTTAAGTCAACATCATAAAATCACACGATAATATCGTTATTGTGCTTGCGTTGATAAATATTGTCCAATTCTGTTCGTCATTATTAATTGGACAATAACTTTGATATTAATTATAACTATAAACCTTTAATCCTTTCCCTAATATTATCGTTTTTCTCTATTTAAACTCAATATATTTTTCTTATTGTAACTCGTAGCTTTGTTAATTTCGTTATATTAATTTATTTGTTTTATATTTAATTAAGTAACAACATTTATTGAGATTAATAAATTAGAATTGCGAAAGTGTAGAGCGCCAGACGTTGATGCAACATTGATTAATTAACATTTATTAAATAAATATAGCATCATAATTACTTCAATATTCTCTAATTGCAAAATTCTGCTTACAAATATTGTTTATATAAATACATAACGAAAGAACTGAATACAACAATATGCTTCAAAATTTTATAAGATAACTCTTGACATATAATTAAAATATGCAAGATATTTATTGTTTGTTTATCTTCTTTATCTTTAAATCACTGAATAAAAAGTAAATTAATTTCTTTAGAAGAAATTCATTAAATAATAAATAATTACATAAAATGTTGGAACCAACCTTCCAATAATCTCTTCAATTTCTGACTTCGAAGAACAAGATTTAGAACCACTCTAAATTAAAAAAATTTATTAAAAATGAATGTCACTATGATCAAATATTTAATTAAAAAATAAATTTACTTTGATGGCCACTCTAAGATTTTTATATCTAATTGCACATTGCTTATCGGTAAATTCGTATTTATTTTCGTGTAACATTTGGGAAGCACCCATCCAGAGAGATTTACTACTACTGATACCACGTAAATTTCGAACCTTTTCCTTATTTTCTTTCAAATATTCAAGCAACAATTTTGTTTGCTCTACCCCCCATCTAACTTTCTTATGGGCCGAGGTCTCGTCAAATATATCATTGCCGATTTCATCAAGGTACTATAAGGGAATTTGTAAAATAAGCTTCGTGTAACATTAGTTCAATTTATTAATTGTACACATTACCATATCCTTAGTGATATCAAGCAACTCAATATCTTCATATATACCAAATTCGTCTATCCAAGGAAAGTGCTTCTCCATCGGTTCATCATCGTTATAATAGGAAATAATTTCTGAGGGAACTTTAGTTACAATGCCACGGTTCTATATGATGTGAAATTTGTAAGAATAATAAATATTTATTCATAAAGTTATAATACACATTACCTGAGATAAATGATCACTATCAAATTTAACATCATCATTTATGAAAGGGCGTCCAATTGTATTTTGAATACTATCAAATTTATCAATTTCTTCAAATTTCTTATTCAAATTTTCTTTAGTTAAAATATACCCAAATAAGTCCCAATCACACTCTTTTTCGTGATTATCAATCCTTAAACTTCCATAATCAGAATGAAGTATACAAATATGTAGTATTATATTAGCAGAATGCTCAATATTTGTTAAAGAATTGATATTTTCACCATGTTGAACTTCGGAACTATCCAAACTCGACTCATTATAAGTTGATTTGATTATTTGAAAATTAATAGCTTCATCTTCCCATTCAACTAACTTGAAAATACTATGCGGCTCATAATTTGTTGATGGGTAGTATGCATCAATGAGAATGATATTTCCTTTGGATAAAGGAAGCGTTTTTATGTAATAGAATGAATCATCAACGTTTAATGCAATAGATCTTTCGATGAAATCAACTTGAATATCTCGATTATTTGGACTAAAAACTGATAATTTCGAAGGATTTCCAACAATCATCCACAATATGTGACAAGTTCTGATATCGACCTTCGATCTTTTAAAAGGTTTTATCATTACAGAAAATCCATTAACATCGAACAACCTAAATCTTGCAAAAAAATCTTCAGACTTTAAATTATCATTTGTTATAATTGATCCAAATACTTCGTAATTTTCATTTTCCAATGATAATTCTATATTTATTCGCTTATAATGTTCGATATTATCTATATCCAAATCTTTCAAATCGTTTATTCCGGTCAATATAACTTTCAAATTATTATTTAAGATCAAATCTATATTTTTCTTTTGTTCTGCTTCGAGAACATCATACAAAGAAATTACCTCATCATATTCAATAATTTCTAAATCATTATTTGTTTTTTTAAACCAATCATCTTCTTCAACGACTTCGCCTTTTTGTGTTGTGAGGTATGTAATATTAAAATTATTCAAATATGATTGTAAGGATAAGATTGGTAATTTTAAATTAATCTTTTCAATCGTACCAAAAATCTCTGTGGTTAAAATATTTTTAAGAGATTTTCCTAAGATAATTCTTAATGGGAATAAATGCCCATATACATTAAACACATCTTGCAAGGCATTAAATGGTTTCATACTTTTTAGTGCTTCTTCTATAGCATTCTTAAATAATTCCGAAGGTTTTATATGATCCCTACTTATTAATATCTCGTATTGTTCATATTTCACTACTAAATGAATATTTTCTTTATCATTAAAATCATCATTTATAATAATAAATGGAAAGTTTCTAAAATTTTTAATTGAGAAAATATTATTGGATATTAAAATTTCCTCCAATTTTGTTGTAGGATTTATTAGTTCAAAATAAGATTCATCTCTTAAATTTATTGTGGGAACTTCAATAAAATTAATGGCAAATTTCTTGCTACTTTCTACTTCATTTGATTTGTTAATTGCAAGACCTAGAAATGGGTGAAAATCTTTGATCCATTTTGCTAACTTAACATATTCCACATTTCCAACCCACATTTCCAACCCTAACTTTTCTTTATAATTAGCAATTCCAGGATGTTTATCTGATGATATTTCACCTTTTATAGAAACAAGATCTTCATAAGAAATAATATTTATTATGTTATCCTGATATAATTTTCTTAGCCAATTTGATAATTTTTGAAGTGTGTCTAACGCCACACCTTTTGAAGTTTCTATTCTTGGTAAAAAACTCAAGTAAAAAGAATTATTATCGAACGGAGTTTCGTTATTATTTTTAGCCAAATTATATGCCCAAATTATATAAAATTTCAAAATTTCTCTTTGTGACGGTGCCGCTAAGCTGAAATTTTTAATAAGTAACTGTCCACCAGCTAAAATTTTTTTTGCAATAAAATGGCCATATAATTCGTGTAATACTTCATCATCCGTAAATTTTGAAAAAGATTCTAATTGATCGGCTTTATAAGTGATTTCAATGACCGGGAAATTAATGCACACATCCGAATAAATCCCACAGTTATGATTCTCTATAGTGAGTGGGCTTGTAGAACAATCAGGATTGTTTGTATTAATAAAAACTATAGGCATCCCTTTATACAAATTTATATCCAAATCACCATCATCAACCAAAACAGCCTTTTTACTTGGTTGGATGCTAGCTCCATCGCAAAATAAACCATAATTCAATTTCCATTGTTGTATGATTTTCTGTTCAGTTAGCGAATCAACATCTTTTTTGCCAGCGTCAACTGATTAGAATTTTAAGACAATAATTAGTGATAGTTAATATGTATTTAGTCATAAAACATTAAACTTACCAATATTCTTTTTTTCATAATCCAAAAGTAAATCGTCAGATAGCTTTTCCAATCTTTTTATTGCTTTATCATAACCATTATCAGCAGATTTTGTGTACCATAGTATTGCTTTATCAAAATTTTTTATTGTGCCAATACCATCTTCAAAACAAACAGCGATATTATATTGAGCAATATTATTTTTCATATTTGCGGCTTGTAAAAACAAGTTAAAACCTTTCTTTATATCAATGGAAGTTCCAATACCTTTTAAATAGCAATAACCCAACATATTTATACCAAAAGGATATTCACCCTTTGCACTTAGGCTATAATAATAAAAGGCTAGATCTGAATTTCTTTTAACATAAATTCCTAGTGAATAAAAATTTCCAGTATAATATTGTGCAATTACATGTCCATGATTAGCTGCATCAATATAATAAAAAGAAGCCATTTCTTCATCTTTTTTAATTCCAGTACCTTTTTCATAACAAACCCCTAATGCGAATTTACTAAATGTACATTGACCTGTTATAACGCTCTCTTCATACGATGAAAATGATGACCGTTTATCAATTGCTGTACCATACCCAAATTCATAACAAATTCCTAAATAATATTGAGAAATAGGATGCTTTTCGGAAGAAGCTTGATGAAAATAATTGAATGCTTTATTAAAATCCAAATTTGTACCGAATCCTGAATAATTCAAATATCCCATAAAAAATACGTAGTCCAAATTTGTCATTTTATTTTCACACAACCATAAATAAACTTTTTCAATAGCGACGTTGTGTGATGATAAAAAACTATCTAGAATTGAAGGAAGTTGCTCACGAGATTTTCCTTCATTCGTTGCCTTTATCAATAACGCTAGTAATCCCGCTATGATACTTTTCATATCTGCTTTATAATCGATAGGAGCAGTAACTATTGACCTGCCTAAGGTATCATCAGATATTTCGATTGAACTCTTCTGATCAAATATTCGAGTAACTGGAGACAATTTTCCACGTGATGAATTATCTGTTTTCGTAATCATTGCTTTTAATTTATTAACTACTTGATATATTGCTAGGCGATTGTCCGGCTCACTTTCCCAGCATTCTAAATAGCATAAATAAAAATAAACATAAATAAATAAACTCATGTATTTTTATATAAAATAGTTAAATTTAAATATTAGATTTACCGGAATAAATTTTTACATAATCTTCAGGTGTACCGGGAATGATTTTCTCTCTAAGTCCTTGAATAATGTTAAAAAATAAACTGAAGTCATAACGTTCACCTTCAAAAGGAGGAAGACAACTTGATATCTCCCATAACAGCACACCAACACTGTAAACGTCACTTTTTTCATTTAGCGTATATTGTTGCGATGATAGGTCATTTTTTCTCCGTCCAACCAATATTTTTGGATCAATATAAGGAATTACATCAGCATGAAAACAAATTGATTTTTGTTTAGTTGCAGCTTCAATTCTTTTCGATAAACCGCAGTCAGCTAGTTTAATGACGCCTTGATGAATTAATATCTTTTTGAAGTGCTATGGATTTTATAAAGAAAATTAATACATTAACAACATCTTTGATTAAAGCGCAATAAAATTATATATATTATATACCAAGTCACGATGAACGATTCCCACTTCATGTAAACATGATACGGCACTAGCCAATTGAAATGCCAATTTATATTTATCATCCCAAGTAAGTTTATCAAAGTTTTCCCTCAAATAATTTCGAAGATTACCTCCATCAGCATATTCCATTACTAACAAATAATTTCTCAATCGATCACTTGTATTTTCTAAATTATTTAATTGTAAAAAAAAAGTCATTGTCTTTTCAAGCAATTAATTTTATAAATAAAATATTTAAATATTTATCATACCTTGTTCGGAAATTGTAATACCATGAAAATGAACAATGTTATCATGAATGATATCACGGTGAAATCTTAACTAAAATCATAAAAAATGTTAAAATAAGAAATGGACAGTATAAATTGCGAAGGTTAAAATTTATAATTACCTCCGCAACGATTTCTTTAGCTATAACGTCGTCAAATTTATGAAAATATTTCAATGCAAAATTATGAGTATTTGTCCAAGTTGCACGATAAATCTTTCCGAAACCTCCAGAATAGATTTCTTGAACGTTTCTAAAATCGTTATATTCATAAATTTTAATGGTCTTTTCAAAAATAGCTTTTTCAATTATTTTATTATTCATTTTTAAAATAAGAAAGGGAGTAAGATCGTCTTATTGTGTGAAACTAGCATTTTTTTCAGATGCATATTTATGTGCCCAAATTATAAGTTGGCTGAATGATCAATGGTCACAAATAAAGTGATTGTGTGATTGTATGTTACACCAAGCAAATTTAAATATATATATATATATTTTTCTTCCAAATGGGAGTTTTTCATAAAAAATGAATTTTGCTAATTTAAATTTCAGAAAATTTTTTAATATTGACATATTCGTCCAAATAGGCGATCCCCCATCACAACTACCTAAAAAATTCACATTAAATAGAAATGATAATTTATCAAACATTCGTGAAATACTCGAAAAAGAAAATGTAATGAGCGATACATTATTATTTGCGCAAAAAAACAATGGATTATTGGCCGAAATACGAAGAAATGGAGAAGAAGATTGTAAATTATATAATATTTTAAATGATAATATTTTATATTTGGTGAATAATTCAAATCCTGATTGGAAATTTTTAAACAAATTGCGTAAATTAGATTATGGACGTACTATAACTTTTAATGGAATTAAAATATCTAAAAAGAGAGCATTTGAAATGAAGGGATGTAAAGTTACTGAACTTGGGGCAGAGAAAAGTAAAAATGGTAATGATGAATTTAAATCGGAAGAAGAATGGATGATGAAAACAAATTTATTTTTTACCAGCGATATTAATGTAGAGAATTTAGTAAAGTTGAGAATAACTGTTGAAAAATCACGTAATAAAACTTTTAAACTTGAAACTAATTCATCTTATCGTTACAAGGAATTTGGTAAAGCGTCTTTGGAATTCAGTGAGTGTTTAGAACCAACAAAGGAATTTATTGATGCGGTGAATAATGCTATACAAACCGGTGATGCCGAGGATTTTAAGCAAATTATTGAGGAATATGGCCAATTCATTCCAATTGAAGTTATTTTGGGTGGAAGAGCTTACTACGAGGGGCAGAATATTCGAAAGGAATATTCTGAAGAAAATTCTAGAAAAGATTCTGTAAATACAGGTGCTGGACCTTTAGGTATAAAATTAGGAAATGGTTCCATAATTTCAAAAGGAATATTAAATTCCTCTAAACATGAGTGTTCAAAATTTATTGGAGGTAAATGTAATGAAAATTTTGATGAAAAAGCTTGGGCTAAATCCTTAGAGGATTTTCGACATTGGGATTGCATAGAATTTAAAAACCCAATTAGTATCTTTCAACCTTTACCTGAGGATTTACGTAAAAAAATAATTTTATCGTTAGGAAAACGTATTCATTATTCAATAATTGAGAACGCTGAATGTAAATTTGAGGAATTGGGAGAACCGTTTAAATATGAATTACGCATACCATCTCCTATTTCAAATATTATTCGCAACAAAGATACTGATTGTAACTTTTTTGCAACAGTTATTGATGCAGAGGATAATACTTTTAACTGTCAAATGCTTTGTCCGCCGAAAGCAAAACCAATTCTTCTAATACATTGTATCCAAGAAAAGGTTAAACAACAGAAATGCAAATTGAAAATTGGATGGATGGTTATTGGTTATTATAAAGATTTGAATTTTATTCTTTCGGATTTTGATGAAACGCAATTAAATATCATTAAAAAAGATCTTACTGCAACATCAAATACGCATTATAGAGAATTCTTAGATTTTGAATATAATTCAATTAGCAACATAGTTCCTTGTATTGGAATTCCTGTACTAAAGACATTGGATTTATCAAAAATTTCTCATGTCATTGGACATCGCTTTTTCAATGTTCAAGAAGAAAATAAAATTGGATCATATACATTTTCTTATTGTTTGAAGGATCATAATTGCGTCGAATTACCCGAATTTACTTTTTATACACTCATCATTTCAAATTATTATGATCGTAAAGCTTATGGCATATCCCCTTGCAAACGTGGTAATGGTAAAAGAATAAAAGATATAGTTAGCTTTGCTAGATCAACTCAGTTAAAACCAAAATATGTTAGTTTGATTCTCACGGCAGAAAATAATTATGGTCCAATTTTTTTGAGACAAAAAGCTAAAAAAGTCGAATATATACATGTTAGGTGTGACCAAAATTCTTGTATTTGTAAAATGACAGAAACTAAAGAAAATTTGAAATATTCATTTTTTGATCCAACTCAAGGTATTTTTTATTCAATTTTTTTTAATTATTTAATATTAAATACTAAGCAAATTGATTTATTACTTTAGATAATGAAGATTGATCCTTTTTTGTACTGCTTCTGTTTGCATTTATTTTTGTATCTTATTCTTATAATTCTTTATTATTAAAATGTACTACGGTAATTTTTTTCATGTAAAAATAAATAATCTTATCTGATGTAATAAATTTCTACAACTTATAAAAAATATATAATATATGTTCTTTGCAATTAAGATTTGATATTTATTTGTCTAAATGACTTAAATTTTTTTGGTCGATTCAGTTGATTTCAATAATAAAGCACGTATCGTTTCAAAACTGCTAATAAGTAATCAATTTTGTGGTCATGCTAGTCAGGTATTAAAATCATGTGAATAGTGGAAAACAAATTCTGGAAATTTTTCACAAAAAAATTTATATTTGTAAATTATCGTGCTTTGCAGCGATTAATATCAATATTATTGTCCAATTCATAATGACGATCAGTTAGATTTTTACGAATTGGACAATAATTTTGACAACGCAAGCACAAGCACAAGCACAATAACGATATTATCGTGTGATTTATGAGAAGTTCTTTATCATTCTCTTTCTCGTCAATTTTTTTAAAAAAAAAATGAAAGTTACATTTTTTAAGAACCACGAAAAAAGGTAAATTGTTTACTTTTTTGTTAATAACATAATTTAAACAAATTTTTATTTTAGGTGAATTATACTTTTAAAAAAACCTACTGGAAAGAAAATCAAACAAACTTATTAATATATAATAGAAGACGAATTGCAACATTTATAAGTTAAAAAACTATATTCTAGATATGGCAATTTATAATGATAATGTATCTTGATTATTTTATTTTTTATTATCCTAATATAGATGAATGTTCAACCATTAATACTGCAACAATAAAAAAGATCCCACTACAAATACCAGATGATATTCAAAAATTATAGCTGATAAAAATTAATTAATTCTGTATGTAGTGTCCAATTCCGCATAATTGAATTGATATCGCGAAAAGTGAAAAGGAATAAATTATCTACTTGTTATAAATAGTTTTTTTGGGGATATTAATTAGTCTCTTAGAAAACAATGATCTTTAGCTCAGAAATTCTTATAAACTGATTAAAATCTAAACTAAAATTAGGCGATGGATTTCTTGAAAACTTATACAATTAGCACAATATTCCATATCCATATATATTATTTTACACTTGTATTATTTTATTAGGTTAAGGTTACTTGATATTAAATAAAAGTATAAGAATTATTTATAGTTTATTTATTAGTGTAGCTAATATCACAAAAAGATATTAAAAAACAAGATCGTCTACATCATATTGGTGAGTACGATAATTTAATTTTATTAATTTTATAGTCATACCTTCAAAAACTGGTTTCTAGTTATCATTCTTCGGAAATGCAAATATACAGAACTACATGACATGAAATTGTGATTTAAATGAATATAATAATAACTTTTTTTTTGCCTCTAATTATAATAAAACTCAACTTTACTTGAAAAATAAATGAACTTTTAAAGAAAATCTTCAAATTAAAAATTAACCAAAAGTTAAGTTTCTATCTGTATATGGAAACTGGTATGGTACGATTCACTTGACCATTCAAATTTAATTTATTAACACCTGAGAAAAGGAAAAAATAATATTTATTTTTATTAATAAAACAAGTGTAGTGTAATTAGAATAACTTGCTTTTATTAAAAAAAATAACTTATTTATATATATGAGCATTATAATAAATAAAGACGAAATGTTAGATTAATCAAAGTGTGATATTTTCTATCTTATTAGAAATTAATTATTATAATTGTTGTATTTTCGTAAGCTTTTAATTGTTTTTGTTTATTTTCACAATAAGTATTAATAAGTATTCCCTGTTACTAATTGTTCGCCCGTGATAATAAATAAAATTTTCACATTTTTATTTCCTTTCACTATAAAAAATTTAACAATTTAACATTTCCCTAAGCTTTTAAATAATCCATAATCCATATTTATCATAAAGATCTAAAATATAGAAATTTAAAAAAATCTATTTTTATCAAAATAACAAAAAATATGTCGATATATAATACCAAATTATCTACAAACTTACGACAAGTTTTCAAAATTCAAAAACAAAGAATTAACTGACCAATGCAAAAATTCGAAATTATAAAAGCAAATTCCTCAAATTTCAAATATAACAACAACCATATTTAGAGAATGCCGTTTTTCAAGATGTTTTTTTTAACTAGGCTTTTTTTAACCATGAATAGTTAAAACTTTTAATTAATTTCTATTACATTAGTCATTAATAATTTATTAGTAAATTATATTCTAAAAATATCATTTTGAATGAAATAAATAAATTTAATTTGTTTGAATGTTAAAATTAATTCATTGTTATAAAATTACCAGTACGATTTTTGGAAGATATATCCCAGGTATATACTTGTTATTTCATACTTCGTTACGGATAACAAGGTTATTCACGGGTTATATATAAAACTTACATGCGCATAAGCGCATGTGATTTTCATATTAACTCTGAATAACCTAAGTAATCCGTAACGAAGTATGGATAACAGGCTTATCTCATTGTGTACACCAGTAGAATTTTTATTAATTAAATATATCTCTCTCAATTTCACTCCTTTTTTTCCTTTTACAAAATTAAAATCTTTCTATCATAATGGATGGGTTCTATTCCTATATATGAGGAAATATTTCAGTTCAACAACTTTCAAGAATAAAAAATATAGACAAATGTACCTTAAAATGGCTTCGTATGGTTAATAATTTAATTAAAGAGGCTAATTTAACAAAAATATTAATGAATATGATACTTGAAAAGAACTGGAAGAATTTTATGCAAGTTTATTACATGGCTTATGAAATTAAATGGCCAAAACTACAAGGCGGAATCTGTATCTAATTGTTATCATTAGCAAGATATTTAATTCAGTCACGGATGTGCATTTTCATATTCATTACTAATTACTAATTTGCATTATTTACTAATCGTATAAAATTAATATAATAAATATGCATTGCTTTAATATAAATTTATTAATATTCAGTATTTATATACTTTTATAATCCCGTGTAGTAAGAAACAAAAATTCTACCGGTGTATACATAATACCGATGAGATAATACGAAATATTGATATTTTCCCGGAATATTCAACTCTGGCAGTAATTCCAGTAAAATATTCTGGTCAGTATTTTATTAAATAATGGAAAATTATCTAAATATCAAAGTAGTCATAAATATCCAAACAAAAAAAAAAGACAACTTATAAATAGCAAAAGCGAAACGGTTCTAATTTATTGTTATGTCACACAAATATAAATCTTTTTAATAGTCCCTTCTATTTATTTTTTTATTAAGGGAAACAAAGCTTTATTCATTATGCCAAAGAAATAGATCTTAATATTTATAACACCTAGCTATACTCAAAGTAGAAAATATTAATGATAGATATGATGTAATTTTAAATCATATTTTTGTAAAAAAATAAAAAAATTGTTAATTTAAATTATAAATTATATACCGAATATCCACATTTAACCATGATGGCTAGAGATTATCTTGAAATTACAAAAAATAATAAACTATCGATTATTAAACATTAATTATTATATTTTTTGTAATAAAGCAACAAATGTTCCAGCAGAACGGGCTTTTCTGGCGGAACTAGTCTAATAAAAACCAAAGGTTGTGATCTTGAAGCTAAAACAATTGCGCTTGTATGTGTTTGAAATCCGGTGGAAAGATGTAATAAAAAATAATTAGGATTAATGCACAAGCAAAAAAAAAAATAAATTAAAAAAAAATTAAATTATATCGGCATTAATATTACCCTTGAAAATTCGAATCGAATCCGGGTTAAACAATAATCGGGACAATGATCAAGTCGAGTCGGAATCAATAAAAACAATTTACCGGACATAGTCCAGGGTGCCATCACCACACACAAGTTAAAATATTAGGCCAAGATTTTAGCGAATAATAAAACGCTTTATTAATCTTTAATTTATTTCGATAAATTTTAAGCAATAAAGATAAAAATGCTTAATTTCTAATATCTTTATACAGTGATTTAAGCACCGACATATCCAGTATCTTTGAGAGATCGTTAAAAAACTTTTCCTAGTATTTAAACCGTTTTAAAATCTTTTCTGGTATATTCGTTTTCTGCTTTGCATCTTGAATAT